ATGGCCCGCCCGATGACGGCGCCAGCGGTGGACCGTCTTCTTCCTCGAGTCACAAGCGCCCCAGCGCGACTCGTCCTCCGCCTCCTCGGTCGCGCTCTGCGCGGGCGGGGACATGCGAGAGGGGCCGCGGACGGCCGCGCGCACGGGGGCGCACCGGGGGCCGCGCGCCCCCCGAGCGCCAAAACATCATGCGCCCGCGACCTCAGGAACTTGCGAAAAGAGAGCTGGAACACTGAATGCCGACGCGTGCGCTTTGTCGTTCGAGGCCGAGTCTGCCGATTGACGGGCGCGGGGCGACGAGCGTTCGCCTGGAGGAGGCAGCGTCTCCATCGGCGCGGTTGACGGCTGCGCCGCCACCGCCAGCGCGAGCATTTAAGGCGCCGCCAGAAGTGACGCCTGTCCTACCCTGGCAACAGAGGAACACACAGGCGTGGAATACGGAAGCGGCATTTTTCCGCCTTCCCTAGCGCGCAGACCCAAGTGACCTTTGGGCCTCCTGGATTCCAGTATCCAGTTCTACTGGCTGGCAGCACTGGAGTGGCGGCCAGATCTGGAACAATCCACAGCGCGATGTTTCATATGACAGTGGCAGTATAATGGCATGTCAGGGCGGCTGCGTCGGGGCAGTGCCCCGACCTGGCCATTCATGCTACGGGGCAGCGCCCCTGGACTGCCGGCGCGCCGAAGCATTCAACAGACTGGTTGCCTTGTGAGTTGAGCGCTGGGCGGTGCGCGCTAGCGCTTTTATCATATAGGGCGGGGCGCGCCGGGCGGCCCTCGGCTACCTCCGTAGAGCGGCAACAGGAACACCCCCTTCCCTCCCGCGGGCGCCCAGTAACTTTTTGAGGATTGGGGCCGCGGGGGGGGGCCCAAAGTGGCCCCTGGGGAATGGGTGAAGTTTGTCCTGCGCTCTCGGGGCGTCAGCCAACGCGCCGACGCCCGCCCGCGCGCGGCAGCGCCGCGCCGGGGGGGCGCGGAGGGGGCCATTACTAACGCTCCCCTCGCCCGTTTAAGCCGCCCTGCCCATCCCTTTCAACAAAGGGTTGGCAGGGGCAACGACGGATGCGGGAGTGCCCGCAGCTACTGCTTGCTCTAGGCAACAGTGCGCGCGCGCGGCCTCGCTCGGCCGGCCGGCGCTCGCACGCGCAGACGCGCTACTTACAGCAACTCTGTCTGCCAGACATCACAGCCATGTTGTCTCCGGTTCGCAGGCGCATGACAGCCTCCCTGGAGCGCGGCGAACACGAAGATCTAGTAGAAAACATCAAGAACGGATTAACCTGGAGAAACCTTTGACAATCTGACGATGGATAGACAAAACGCTCTTCTAGAGGCTCTCGGAGCCCCCAGAGGTCCCTGGAGGCCACCTGCAAGTTTCCGAGGCCCCTTCGGGGGTAGCCAACCCCCTCCCCCAGAAGCTTGCAAAGGCCTTGGAGGCCCCCGGCGGCCCCGGATGCCTTCGGAGGCCCCGGAGGTCTTCCCCCGGATGCCCTCGAAGGCCCTCGCGGGCGCCCAGCAGCCTGCCGGAGGCTTCCATAGGCTTAGGCCTTCGGACGCCCATGGCCCCGGGAGCTATCGGAAAGGATCCCACAAAGGCTTCGCCTTGGGCCGCCAGCCCCCTCTCTACCAAGATGGGGTACGCAGGAGCTGTGCTGGGATGCCTGGGCACCGTCGTGAAGCAGCGTCGAAACCGAGGACGATTGGCAATCTTCAAAACACATTGAGGTTCCGATAGTATCGTCAAGTTTTGCGCTGCCCTTTTTCGGATTTTCCTTTATGGTTGTGCATCGCGCGCCCGCTTGGAACGACGCAGCCCGATTGAAGGCTGCTTGAGGCCACGTTTGGTAAAATCGCGCTGCTTGGACGGTCGTTGGGTTCCTTTTTGCGTTTTGTTGACAATGGGCGTGGCTTCGGGCGCGCGAAGCGTGATGCAATTCAGTAAATATCGTGGTCCCGGCGCGAACATTGCGCAATGTAAAAGGACTCGTGGCCCCTGGGACACGAATACGGCATAATTTGCAAACGATCGTGGCTTCGGGGACGCGAACGTCGCGTCATTCACGAGGGACCGTGGCTTCGGAAACGCTAATATTGATGAGTTCACGAGGGATCGTGGCGTCGGGCACGCGAGCATTGCACAATTCACGAGGCATCGTGGCGTCGGGGAATCGAACATGAAATCATTTATTGGAGAGCGTGGCATCGGGGACGCGAACATAGCGTAATGTACTAAGGATCGTGGCCTCTGGGGCGCGACATGTTTTGCTTCATCTACGAGGGGCAACTGTGTCGGTTTATGCAACCAGTATGTAGTTTACAAAGGATCGTGGCCTGGGGGACGCGAATATTGTGCAATTTGCGGGGATCGTAGCCTCGGGGATGCGAATATTGCAAATTACAAACGATCGTGGCTGCGGGGACGCGAATATGATGCAATTTACATGGGATCGTGGCCTCGTGGACGCAAACACTATTTTACAAAAGATCGTGGCCTCGGGCCTCGGGAACGCGAACTTCAGCGTAATGTTTGGGAGGTCGTGACCACGGGGACGCGAACAGGGTGTAATTTGCGAGGGATCGTGGCTTCGGAAACGCGGACATCGAGTAATTTACAAAGGAACGTGGCCTCGGGGATTGTATAATTGGGAGCTCGAACATTGAGTAATGTATGGGGGTCCGTAGCTGCAGGGACCCGAGCAGATAATAATTTACCAGGGGTCGTGGCTTCGGAGACGCGAGTATGTCGTAGCCTCGGGAGCGCGAATCTCAACTCGTTTTGCGAGTCACACGGCCCCGCAGGAACTTAGGCAGTGCGATCTGGGCTTGGTAAAAATGGGGTTTGGGCTCCCCCCCTATCGCGCGCACTTCAACAGCTCGCTCTGGGAAGTCGAAGGTATGATGACAGAAAATAGCATGGGAGTTTTGCAATCGAAGCTGGAGTGGGAAGCAGCAAGATTACACGCCGGTCGTTGGAAGCAGGCAGCTTCGGATTCCCAGGCCCCAGTCTACTTTAGGCGCCTTCCTGCTTCAAGGCTCGAGTGGGTTTCCCTTTGCCTGCGTCTTCAAGGGGCGGGCGGAGTTCCAACCGACTTCCAACGCCTTCCTACTTCCTCCTCCCCTTCCTCCTCCCCTTCCTCCTCAGCAGTCTGCGTTGTGCTGTTGCAGCATTAATCTGTCTTCGTATCCCTCACAGTACTGCTTGTAGTACACACTGTAAGACTTCATTACACATGAGACTGGGTGGTTCTATCGCCCGAGGATGGAAGGACGTTCCTACTTCATGTTTCTATATACTTCTTCCGACCGACGGTAATCCCCGCAGCCTGATGGCCCCGCAAGGCGGCCGGCGGATGAGAGACCTTCGGAGGCCCCAGGAGGCCTTCGGAGGCCCTGGGAGAGCCTCGAGGGCCTGCGGGCCCTCTGCTGTGCGTCCCCCGCTGCCAGACGAGGCCCTCCCCGAAGCGGATTAGAAAAGCATCCTTGGTACGGTCGGACCGAGGCGAGAGATTGAAGCCAGTTCGGGGAGGGCACACGAATTCCAGGCCTCCCAGATGGGGTCGGAGCAGAGGGGGTCGGAGGATCGCGCCGCATCGCTGATGCACCGGCGATGCGGTTTGGTGCGGAGCACGATTTTCTCGCCGGCGTCGCCGATGCATCGTCGGTGTGGCTGGTGCACGCCAGTGCATCGCCGATGCGACGCGATCCTCCGACCCCATTCACTCGGACTCCATCTGGGAGGCCCGTCCTCCTGTTCTTCGTGTTTGTTGGATGTTATTGTGCATCCTGGGAAAGGGTGCCCTCGAATGTTTTTCGGTTTGGGCCGGCGGAGGGTCCCATGTTCTTGGAGGATGTTCTTCGGTCCTTGGTCCGGCTGTACTTGATGTGCACCACTCACTGCTAGACGAGGCTTCTGCCCAATTTGATGAAGGAAGCATCAGTTAGGCTGGTTCGCTGCCGATATGGCACATGGGCGGGCGGTTCGTGTGTTTTGCTGCTCGTGCTTCTGGGAGATACTGGAAAGGGCATTAGGCAAGGGTCGCCGCGCACCAGTCGAAGCGGTTGTGGCCGTGATTGCTGCAAGTAATTTGAGATGCAATTATGGAACGGTCAAACGTGCAGTCGCGTTCAATGTGGGGTTCATATCATTCATCGTGTTCAGGGACCCAGCGGAGCTGTAATTTGGTAAATTTCCTCCCAGCAGCGAGGGAGAGATGACAGAAAGGATGCATTGCATAGTTTGGCAGAAGCGGCCAGTATGCAATGCAATATGGTCGTTGCTAGGCTTGTATGTCGTTTGGGCCGACTTGGGTAGGCTGCATTTGATTCCAACATGCTTTCGATTCGATCCGTTTTCAATTCCGATATCTTGATGACCAGCTTTCAGGAAGCCCACTTCAACATAGACAGGTATGATTTTCTGTCGTGTGTCCGTGCAGTCACGTTGCGGCGTTCTTTGCCACCTCGCTAGAGAGTCGTGGGGCAGGGATGCCAAATCGGGAAATCCGTGGGGTTCAAATTCGCTCACATGAACAAACAATGAGCCGTGCCAGCTTCTGAGGTACCTCCACGGGGCCTCCGACCCCGCCCGCCACGGTCGAACCAGCGAGCCGCCCAGAACGCTCAAAATCGTTTCGTGGGCCTCCCGAAGGACCAACGACCTCGAAGACGGCTTGAGGGCGGCTCCAAAGTGTTTTTTGCGCTCGGCCTCCCAGAGATTTGTACAGTCAACATGTGTTTGGTTGTAGCGCGTGGTTGGCCCCATCTTCTTTCCAGCTCGATATGGCTCCAAGAACGGCCACATAGGCTTTCAAGAGGGCCCACGTGCCCCACAAGAGCCCCCAGCATGGCCCAAGACGCCCCCAATGTGGCCCAATATGGCTTCCAATGCGACCCCGAATGGTTCCAAGACGGCCCCAAACCGACCCAAGATTGCCCAACAATCCCCACGAGGGGCACCACAGTTTCCCGAAAAGGCCCTTGGATGCCCCGAGGGACCCGAAGATGATCCCAGGAGGCCCCGCAGCCATATCTCGAGTTAATTTGTGACTCGTCCTTTCCTGTGTAAAGAACTTCATAACAAATATGCCTGCTGGTGCTGCATCTAATGCTCTCCGTTGTTCAATCCTCCTTACGTGCCTTTTCAGTTGGGCAGCAAGCCTCCTCTTTCCTGAGATACCAGCAGATGCACGGGTGACTACTTTCGAAGAGAACCGGCCATTCCCGGACAGAGAGTGCAACTCGACAGGATGGAATTCTCTCCATCATGGAGCTTTGGCCCATCGGTATTCGGAAATGCTTGTGCGGATGCAGGGCAAGCGCGTCTTGTTTGGCGGCGATTCGCTCATGGACATGGTGTATCATCCCTTCATATGCAGCGCCGCTGCATTTGGTTGGAGCATATCCGATGTGCCTGTTGGCCTATGGGGAACCCGGGCGGACGAGTCTGCTGGTACCCAGGCAAAGATGTTCACGAAGGAGAACCATAAGCCCATTGTAGTTGCTTATATGCGATTCTATAACTACCGTGTCGGTATGGACAACATTAAGCCTGTTGACGTGTTCCGATTTCCGCTGAAGCCCCGGAACTTCGACGTCGTCTTCCTTAACATGGCTCACAACGCTATGTTCACGCGTAATCCTAAAGAGGTCCAGGACCTGACGAACGAGTTAATCCGTCATGCGAACGAGGCCCCACACATCGGCCGCATGGTGTTCGTGGGCCACCCCCCGCAGCACTTCAAGACCGAGACCGGGGAGTACAACGGCCCAGAGACTGGGGACTGCGCGTGCCACGACAGGGCCGCGCTGGAGCGGCAGCCCATTTTCCAGCACAACTCTCTTGTGGAAGCTGAGGTTGCCAAGGACACCAGGGGTGGACATAAACGTGTTTTTCGTCGATTTCGTGGGCCGTTTTCGTTTCGATGTCGTTTTGCGTTAAAGGCGGATTGAAGACACAACGAGGGAGAGCGAAAACAAAACGAAAACGAAAAACACCGTTTAGGTTCAGCCCTGAAGGACAACGAGCGCTCTGACGGGAAGTGTGCTTTTGCTAACCCGTGGAACTATCCAGCTGCTTGCGGCGGGGCCCGCCACCGTGCCAGTCCAGCACACTGGGTGGCGATTGACAGGAAGCCAAGATACGCAACACCGCGTATCCCGAGAGCCGTAAAATATTCATGTTGTTTCCCCACGTGTTAGTGTTTGAAAATGGTGACGATGAGGAAGATAGTAAGGAAGAGGAGGAGACTCAGGAGGATGATAATAACGGCGTCGACGATGTTGCTGTTGATGGCGACGATGATGATGGTGATGATCACGATGGTGATTGTTGTTGGTGATTGTGGTGAACATGAAGATGGAGATGAAGATGAATATGGTGAATATGATGATGATGATGATGATGATGATGATGATGATGATGATGATGATGATTGTGATGATTGTGGTGATGGTGACGGGGATGGTGTTGAGACTGATGATGCTGCTGATGATGATGATATTGGTGGTGGTGGTGGTCGTGATGATGATGATAATGCTAGGATAATGATGGTGGTGGTGGTGGTCGAGATGATGATGACGTTGGCGGTGATGTCGATGATGACGACGATGATGTCGATGGTGATGATGATGACGACGATGTTGATGTTGATGTTGATGCTGTTGATGATGATGAGGATGGTGTTGACGGTTATGATGATGGCGACGGCGGTAATAATGTTGGTGATGCTGATGATGTTGATGAGAGTAATGGTGGTGGTGATGGTGGTGATGATAGCGCTGGTGAGTAGAATGCTGATGATGGTGGTGATGATGAGGCTGGTCATGAAGAGGATAGCGATGGTGATGATGAGGATGATGATGGCGACACTGACGATGACGACGATGATAGTTATGATGAGGAGAGTAGGCGGAGGAAGAAGATGAGAAAGAGGAGGTGGACGCCGACCAGAGAGCGTCCGCAGGGTAACGAACGTTGCCAGGCTACAGAAGTGGATAGTTGGGCGGGTGACACGTACCCTCAGGGAAGGCCAGCACCACCGCCAGGTAAAAGTTAGCCGTATAGGACCTCAACCGTCGGATGGAGGCCCCGCGCGGCCTCGCTCAGTTTCTTGACTCCGTAACCCCTGGCGGACGGGACCTCGGATGGGGCCACGACATTGGTCCCAGAGGGCACGCGGGGCAGGAGGAGGAAGCTTAAGCACATGGAGCTGATGCAAACACGGCCAAATCTCAGCATGGCATGGCCACGTTCTTCAAATGCACGAGATGTTTCCACACCGTCGCTCGTAATGCTTTCAGGCATGGAAAGGGGATCGAGCAAGCCAGCAGACTCAATGGCCTGCTCAGCCTCCACCGCGGCAGCAGCCCTCAACGGCCACACAGATTCGCCACCCGCTCGAAGTCATTACTGGCTGTACAGGCCGAAAGGGCGGTGGGCTTGCAAAACCTGGGCGGGTGTTTACACAAGCGTTCGAGTGTGAAGCGAGCGCGCGCGCCCACAAAACAGGGAATATTGCGCATCTCGTCGGCGCTCTCATTCACATTGACATTATGGTCGTGGAGCGAGAGACGAGAGGAGGGAGGAATCGTCGGAGCAGAAGGCGGAGGAGGAGTGTCCGCCCACTTCTCAGTGCGGATCAGACCGGCGGCGGCCCACGAAATATAATCGAGGGTGGTTTTCGGAGGTGAGGGGGTGAGATCGAAGTGGAACGGACAGCCCCCCTACCGGGAAATCGATTTCGGTTTCGTGTTCGTGCGTGCCGTGCGGGCGAGGCGAAGCTGCGTGGGCGGGCGAGAGAAAGTCTCCTGTGGCTGAGGCGCGGCCGGACCAAATGTCTCCCTTCCGGGCGGCCGGGGGCCCGCGGTGTCCCGCCGGTGTCCCGCTGGTGTCCCGTGTGGCTGAGGCGCGGCCGGACCAAATGTCTCCCTTCCGGGCGGCCGGGGGCCCGCGGTGTCCCGCCGGTGTCCCGTCGGTGTCCCGCTTATGCTGATGATGATGATGGTGGTGATGATGATGACGATGCTGATGTTTTATTTGAGTGATTGATAGTGAGATCGGTAGTGATATCGATTGTGAGATCGAACGTGAGATCGAATGTCAGATCGCTTGTGAGACCGATTGTGAGATCGATTGTGAGACCGAATGTGAGATCGATAGTGAGATCGATAGTGAGATCGATTGTGAGACCGAATGGGATATCGATTGTGAGATCGATTGTGATATCGATAGTGAGATCGATAGTGACACCGAATGTGAGATCGATTGTGGAATCTATTGTGAGATCGATAGTCAGATCGATTGTGAGATCGATCGATTGAGTTAGTAGTGAGATCACTATCGGTAATGAGATCGATAGTGATTTCGATAGTGAGATCGATGATGAGACCGAATGTGGGATCGTTTGTGAGTTCGGTTGTGATATCGATAGTGAGATCGATAATGAGATCGAAAGTGAATTCGATAGAGAGATCGATAGTGAGGCCGAATGCGAGATCGATTGTGAGATCGATTGTGATATCGATAGTGAGATCGATAGTGAGACCGGATGTGAGATCGATAATGAGATCGATAGTGAGTTTGATCGTGAGATCGATAGTCATATCGAATGCGAGATCGATTGTGATATCGATTGCGAGGTCAATAGCGAGACCGAATTCGAGATCGATTGCGGGATCGATTGTGAGATTGATTGTGAGATCGATCGTCAGATCGATTGTGAGGTCTATCGATTGAGATCGAATGTGAGATCGGTAGTGAATTCGATAGTGAGATCGATCGAGTGCGACGTTGGTCCCTCCCCCCCTCCCTCACCTCCTTATCACCCGAAGGGTGGTCTATGCGGTATGATATTTGATTTCGCCTTCAAGCGCCTGCGCGGTAACATCAGCAACCAATGCCGCTGCTCAATGAAGGGGCGGACAACGAGAGGTCGGCAATGTCGACGCCGCGCCGAGGCGGGAGCCTGGCCGACGATGGCCCTGGCCCGGGGGGCGATCCGGAGGCCAGTGGCCTCGGATGCTCACCCATGTCGGCCCCGGAGCTGCCGCCGCCATCGGCGCCCGCGCACTGCGGGCGCGCCCCGCCCAGGAGCGGCTCGCGCGGGGAGACTCCAAAACCGCGGGCCCCGTGGCGAAGCAGCCGAGGCGGGCCCGTTAGCATGCCGACGAGGTCCCCACTCGCGAAGCGGATAAGGAGGGGCCACCCCGAGGGCTGCGCCCCCAGGGCTCCGGCCCCCCCGACTAGCTCGTTGGGGGCGACGCGCGCGAGGCGGCTCGCAGCCGACGCCGCCCGGGCCCCATTCCCCGCGCCATCCCCCTCAGAGCCAGGGGTGCAGGGCCCGAGCGACGGAGGCAGTCGCGGGCCCCATCTGGCGCGCCCTCGCCCTCTGCTCGCACGGCGCGCTCCACTGCGCGGGGCTATCGCATTTACGACGCCCGCGCCGACAGGGGCCCCCCGGCTGCGCGGAGTTCCCGGGGCGCCGATGCCCGAACAGTCGGGGGCGATGCCAAGGCAATCTTCGGAGCTTGTTCGGTCAGCTGCTCACTCTGCAACGCGCGTTGCCACTGCGCGGGCCGCCCCCTGCCCCGCGCGCGCAGCTGCTCTGCCTTCGGCAACCTGGAATGGCAGCAGGCCGAGGAAAGGAAACGGGAGGCGATCGTGGAAGAGCGGAATACGAAAATGGCGCAAATTTGGGAGCAGGTTGCGGCATTTAATTCTCGAGAGCGGGCCGCGGCCCGGGCCCGGGCCGAGCGCGACCGAGTCGGGCCATCCGCGCCCATGAGCAGGCGGCAGAGAGGCGCAGCGCCTTCGCCTCCTGAGCAGTCGACGCGAGCTAACGCTGACTTCCGAGGAACTGCAAACCAGGTCGAGGCCTGCGCGATGGCCGAGAAACGGGCGCAAGCTCTCGTGGGGACGTAGCGGGCGGGGCCAAGAACGCCATTCAGGGGGCTGGTCAAACCCAGCAGACAACGGCATCGAGGATCGCCGAGGAATTTAGAGCCGCGGAGGCGCGCGACGCCCTCCTGGAAACGGAGACCAAGGCTGCCGCGCAGAAGGCCGTAGCGGATCGGCCAAGCGCGGGCGCTATCATTCAGAGGACTTCAGCGGGAAGCGCCGCGGTGATACGGCGCGCGCAGAACGGGGTCATCAACTGTCGTCGGCGAGCGCAAGTCATCGCCCAGGAGGCTAGCGCGAGCTGCGTTCGCGCCGCGAGCGGCAGGCAAGCAAAGAAGCGAACGTCGCGCCCCGCAGCGTCGAATTGCAGGCGCGCAGCAAGTTGGGGGCGCAGCGCGACCGGCAGCATCGCGAGCGAGATGATTTACACATGCAACGAGGTTCGCGGGAGCACGCTTCCCTGACCAGCCGTGGAACGGCCTGGCCGCCACCGTCAACGCGCCTTCCTCCACGGGCAGAAGCGCCAAGGCCGGCGGCGCGGGCCGCGCGGATGGGCGGGCCGCGACGCTTCGCGCGCAAGGAGGCGGCGAAGCACGATTGCGCGCTGCGCGCGCGACCATGCTGCGACGGGCGCTGCCGTAGAGAAGAGAACCGATGCGCCGCTTGCGCAGCGGCCTCGGTCGAAAGGGATAGAGAGGCCGATGGGGGGGGGGGCGCGCGGGAGAAGAAGAAGAAGAAGAAGAAGAAGGAGAAGAAGAAGAAGAAGTGGAACGCGGAGCGAGAAAAGGGCTTGATGAGCGGATCGCCGCCTCGACGGCGCCGGGGGCTGGGCCCTGCCCGCGACTTCCCAGGGCGCCACGCGGCTGCGCTGCGGGCGCGTCTGGGCATGCGGCGGAGCAGATGGTGGAGAGCGAAGTGGCCTTGCACCTATGGGCGCACGGTGGCTCTGCCGGGGCCGGGCATCGGGCGCCGTCGGCGACGCTCGAGGAGACCGCGAGAAGCATGGAACGCCGCGCCGAGGCGAGCGCCAGAGCGGGAACTGCGTTTGGAGAAGCGCGCGGAGGCCGCCGCCACCGCCGAAGAGCAGGCTCAGCCGGAGGAGGAGCAGGCGAGGGGAGCAAGCGGGGCGCCGCTCGAGGAAAGAAAAGATTGCCGAGAGCTCGCAGGCTGCGCCTGC